TCTCGTTCAGTCCTTGGAACGTCTGCTGGATGGCGGTGCTTCTGTATGAAGGAATATATGATGAAAAGTTATGAGATGGCGGTACTTGGAGTGTAGAATGGGTGAACAAACGCACCCACAGACAGATGTATGGATGGACGCACGGCTGGCTGCACGAATGAATGGACGCATGGATGGACGCAGGAGCGGATGCATGGACGAAAGCAGGGACGGACGGCACAGATGAACGTCCGGACGCAGTGAACAGACTTCGCACGGACGGGCGGAAGGACGCACGGGCAGCCACACAGATGCACGCATGTTTGTACGGAAGCAAGAACGAATGGACGGACAGATGCTTCGCCCCACTATCCATCATTCACTCCATGAATATGCTGCCATTTTTTATATTTCGTGCGATAGTGGTAACGGACACAGGTGGTGGCGGCGAACAACAACCAGCACTGCGTGTGACACTTGTCGTGATCTCATAAGTGCATCCAATGTAAAAAACCACACCATATCTACGGAGTGAATGATTATGAGTGCGGTGAAGCTACGGAGTGTTTTATCGGTAGACCGCGTATCGTCGGTACATATGTGTGTCTGTATGCCGTCCGACCATCCGTTCGACTGTCTGTATGTATGTCTGTTGCTCCGTCAATCTAGTGAACACGCCAAGTAGAGCCATCTCGCATCTTTTCATCATATATTCCCCATATAGAAGAAGCGCCATCTAGCTGGCATTGGAACACTAGATAGATATGTGTGGTTTAACGTCCCAAAACCACTATATGATTATGAGAGACGCCGTAGTGGAGGGCTCCGGAAATTTAGACCACCTGGGGTTCTTTAACGTGCACCCAAATCTGAGTACACGGGCCTACAACATTTCCGCCTCCATCGGAAATGCAGCCGCCGCAGCCGGGATTCGAACCCGCGCCCTGCGGGTCAGCAGCCGAGTACCTTAGCCACTAGACCACCGCGGCGGGGCGGCATTGGAACACTAAACGAGAAGTCACTTCCTATTACTACTTCGACTACGTAAATCGAAGACTCCGACCCACGGCTTAAGGAGCTTCACGCCATAAAAAAGAAATGTACCGACGCGAAGTTGCATCGTCTACAAGATCGGCAATGTGCTTAGGTTCGGAAATTACTGGCACACCAAAACACGCTCTTCAAAACCTCGTTCCTGTTTCTGCGTAACGTTTAAAGGCTGACAAGGTGCACGAATGGAACAGTGTAATAAAATACATGCATTTTATAACAGACGGCCGAAGTTGCCGTAGTGCTAGAGAGTATGAATAAAAACGTTGGCTTGTCGGTGTTGCACTTCGACGAATGCAATGATTTACGAACAGAAGTGTGTAAGCAGTACAAAAAACACTTGTGTGAATGGGCGTGGTAAATGAGTGCCGGCAAATGATACATTATGGCAAAATACTCGACAGGCGTCGCTTTACGAGATTTTCAATACAGTGTGAGCCAAAGTACATAGTACACACGCAGTGTCTGCCCCTCTCTTCACGCCACATTATCCCCCCAACACTATAGTTTTTTTAGCTCTGTTCAGCATGCTAGCGCTACGACCACGGACAAGGAATTACGGAGCCGTAGAGCAGAGGAGCTGTTGTTCGGTAGATCATCGCGCCCATCTTTTTGTTGATCGGGTAAATCCATTTGGTGCTTGCAATTACTCGCGAGGCGCCATATTGCACGCCTTTCAGGCATGTGAAATGGATGGATGGAATATTTTACAAATATGTGTCCCTGAACGTACACGTATAACGTTCAACAAAATGAGAATGACAACAGTAAATCCGGGTGATAGAGTAAGATCCCAAGGCATTATGAACAAACACTGTGCACTGAACCAGCATTATTAATTGAAAGGCTCTGCAAAGTAGGTGCATCTCCCTCCGTATCGTGAGGATGACCTTTGAAGCGTGCTCAGAGCTCTGATATTAAGTTGTGGTCATCTTGTGGCAGCATAGCTAGTCTTCTAAGCTCTCTGGAACCAGAAAGGAACAAGCAAGCAAGCAAGTAAACGCTCACAATGTAGGGGCCGACCTTAATTATTGCACACCTGGCGTCATTCAGTAGCTCCTCCTGCACGCTGTTGAAAGGAACCCAGCTGGAGTGAATGTAAGAGGGCTAGGAGGTAATTATTAGAAAAAATATTTAGTCCACGCATAAAACGCTTGAGCATAAATTTAAAGAGCCGGTGTTGGGTTCGACATTAGTGCGTTCGCCGAATACCTTCATATTAGAGAGTTTTAGTACTGCGTACGCTGCGTACGTGGCGGCGTTGCGTACGCAAGGACGCCACGTTCTGCGTAGTGAGCATGCGCAGGCCGCAACGCGCACGTATCGCGTTACGTACGCAGCCGCTACGTACGCACGCATGAGATGCGTGCGTGCGTACGTATGAGGCTGATCGCGCCGCTCTCGAACAAGCTCGCGACAGCGCGAGACTTCGTTTTGCAAAATGGCGGCATCGAAGGCAAGCACCGACAGGCTCTGTGGCTTAAAATATGGCCATAATCTGGCTATAACGCTTGGATTGGCTCACATTGGCTGTCACAACACGTGCTTTTATTTTGATCTACCAGTTGACCCAACACGCTTCACGCTCGTTACGTACGCGGGTACTACGGCGTACTAAAAGCCGATTAGTGGCAAACGACGCCACGTAACGCAAGGCGCTTGCGTGATGCGTACGTAGCACAATTTCGCAGTACTAAAACTCTCTATTGTTACCCGCCCCGCTGACGATGAGCCTACGCCACGACGGAAGCGGTGTCCCTGAGTTGGCGGAACTGTGGCTGTCTGTCGGTCATAAAGGACGCGAAGACCCAAGCCACCGAGGGGCTTAGGGGTGGCACCTTTCTGGAGACAAGAGACGAGTGGAAGGTGCACTTGCGCTACGCTTTAGGCAACCGACACCAGCGGCAGTGGCGGCATTGATACATGGGTCAAATATACTGATGGCTTGTCAGACCAGCGTTGCAGGCACGCACCCGGGAGGTGCGTTTCCACGGCTCATCGACACCAGACGCCGAACGTTCCGGGAACTCGAGTGAAGGATGTTGAGCTGCGATGAGAGGCGGCTGTTCTTCGAGGAATATCCGAGAGGAAAGTACTCGGTGTCTGGCACCTTCAACGGCCGCCAACGGGGAGTCTAGGACAGAGATATTCTGGCGTTTTGTTTGTTTGGATTGTAAGAGTGTTTGAATGGAGGAGGGGGGGGTTAGGGGATAAAAACCAGGGATGCAAGGACAGAAAAAAGGAGAAAAAAATAAACGTCTATTCAAAGGATGTCCTAGTGATTCTTTCCTCAAGGTGCCAGCAGAGGAAAAATCTCGCCTTCGACTGCCTTGGCGGCAGCAGCAAATGTAGCGCCACCAGCAAGGCGAGTAGAATACCATAATGGAACTTAACTGGCACAGTCGAGCTTGATCTGCATGGGTGAACTGAGGAGGACTGCGGGAAGCAACATTGGCCGAGAGTGAACAAAACCACCTTCAACTTGCTACTGTGCTGCGGGATCAATAAAGCAAGGCTAGCCAACTGGATTCCGAGGAGGAAGAGAGCACCGCAAGGCTATTTCAAGCAGGTACATCTTGTTTTTTCATTGGGCGCAGGCATGACAAATCGTTACAACTTGGGCGACCGAGAAAAGGAGAACTCGGAAATTAATGAGGATAAGGCAGGAAACTTTCAAGTGAAGGGAGTCGCAAACAGCGGCACGGGGTTCATGGTAGGGTGTCAGATCCGGCAGTGCGAACATCAGCTAGCGCTGTTTCAGCTGCAATTGAAAATTACTGAGGCAGAAATTGAGAGGCAGCGCTTGATGTTAGAAAGCCAGCGGCTGTGAGCCCGTGATGGGGTAGAGTTCAACAAGAGTGGTGACAGCGTATCGCTTGGCGAAAGGTTACAGGAGGACAGGTGACTGAAATTTGCACGGTTGGTAAAGGGTGTACTGGCACCAATGCTGAACCGAGAGGCCTTGTGCCAATGTGGTTCGAGGAAGTCGAAGCAACGTTCCAGCACTATGAAGTTCCGAGCGAATGATGCGCCGCTAGTTTTATCACTGCTGAGCAAAAGGGCACGTGGGCTTGTGGAGGCTGACTGCAGAAGATGTGAAAAGCTTACTTTCGGCTTAAGTCTAGTATTTTGAAGGGCCCCGGGCTTTCGGCGAGGGAGTACAAGAGGCTGTTTGCAGGATCAAAAAAGGGAGAAAAGGAGTCTTGGGATCAGTTTGCCGGTTTGCCTTGGGATTTATTTCGGCTATTATATCCAGTCTCCAGAGTTCAAAGGTATAGATTATTTTTGCTACGTCCTTGTAATTACTAATAGCATCACTCGAGGGTCCACAATAGGTTATTATTGTTCTTAATATCGGCCAATGCCTAGCGTTACCATTCTAAGTAACGGTCATTTCATTAAAACGCAATGCCTATTTCACTGTGATATACTACATAACCCAGAAAAGTAGCGAGGTGTTGACTTCTACTCTGTGGCGTTTGATATGAGTTTTTGTCACTCGATGATTTACACATACCTGCCGCATGCGTGCGTTAACGAAGAAAGTATAGCAATGACGTAAAGATATTGTGCTTATTGGAAATAACCGAGATCAGCAGCTGCTGAAGCAGCGAAATAGATTATTCTATATCCACGACAGGATGTAGTTTTCCACCAGGGACCTTCCATTATCCTGTCACGCGCTTACTGGCTCCAACAAACAGTTCAACTTTTTCAAATTGGCTACAGCTGTTGGTAAGAATGACTGACCCAAGCGTTAAAACGGGACATGTCACTGACCCCGCTTAATTGGTTAGGCTCCATGACTCGTAATAGCAAATTCTTTTTGTTTTTGTTTCAGTATCATTTAATATAACCCCTTTGATCAAGCTCTTTCAATTTGAGCTGCCAGGAATGTAACCAAACAGCTCCTAATTTTGAGCAAGATGAACTTTGGTATGCCACTGCAGCTTGATAAGTGTTATGCAATAGAGTCGAAATACAACGAAATGTAGGCATATCGAGACGACTATATATTGCTACCAGAATAGCCTACTAGCAGATTTTTCTAGAACACAATACTTAGCAGGAACAAGGTGGGTATGCTGTATATTTGTCATATCTGATTACATAAAGCAGCCATCATATAGAAGACGAACAGCAGTCTGTCTGAAGCATCGGTATTCGTGTGCACTCACAACTATTTCATTTGCAAGCAGGTTCCAAGACTAAACTCTCTGTCAACATGAAGAATGTCTCAGCCATCACACTGCTGGCAGCGCTCACAGGTGAGTTTGGATGACGAAAAGGCTGTACAGAGTAGTGTGTAAGGCATTGCTTCAAACGCGAAATGGACATTTATTCTTTTAAGTTCATTAGTTGTCAATAGATACTTCACGTACTGTGCGCTACTAAGGTACAATGTTTCATTCACCATGTATAGGCTAGAAAACCAAACCCTCAATCGCCTAGGGGCTCTACGTTGGGGAATAACCAAGAACACAAAATCTAGAAAGCACTATAACATCATGGCAACCTGTTCGACGTGTCTGTTTATTAGTACTTCGAAACTGTTTTTAGAGGTTAGTAACGATTGTAATGTTTGCACAATATTGATGCCCAAATAGTAACTATAAGAACGCTGCTTACACTAATGACTTTTTTTAATACTTCGGTATGTTAGAGCTTTACATGACCCAGGAAGTTAAGCCAACGATGCTGCTGATTAAAACCAGTGAAGCACTCTGCCAGCAGTAGCAAGAAAGTTCTAACGAAAACCTGTGTACACAGCCCACACGACTTTTGCTTGATATGGACAATCAGCTGCTAAGGGTAAAAAAATGAAGACGAGAGTATACAAATAGACCAGAAGATTTGTGCACTAACAGCTGAATTATTCTGCAAGCAATTACGTAGAAAACCTCGTAGAAAACCTAAATTGGGCTTAAAAGGCCAGTCACTCGTTCCAACGCACTGTTGCCTTACACACGACCGATCTTAATCCCACCGCCACAGAAGCTTAAAAGTAATAGGGACACGTTCCTACATTCAAAGATGCACACTTCAGTCGTATACCCCAGTAATATCGTTTGCATATTCATGAAAGGAAATAACATTTGTTTTCTCAGAAACAGGTGATCTTGCAGGAAATACAGGTGTCAAAAATTTTTCCGGATTTCGGTTGTCTCCTATCTTGTGTCCCGTTTGTTCACGCTTCCAATATTCTATGTCGCACTACGTCTCATATCAATTTCTTCAAGAATGATATTGAAATTTGAATTGCTTTTGTTTTGTTTTATTTATATTACCCTCAGGGGCAAAAAGGCATTCAAGAGGGGAGTGGGTAAATACATGAAAAATACAGAAAAAACAGTGCAATAAATACAAACAAAACAATACAATAAAAGACAGATAGTATTAACATTTCTGAAGAATGTATAAAAATAGTTATTTCCAAATTCACATAAACAGAAGCAAAAAGCATACGTAACAGAATTTCTTGGTTATACAATGTTAGCTAATGTTTCGTGAAAAAGTTTGAAGTCAGTGATGGTTGCGACATTCGAGGGACGGCGGTTCCAATCATGAGATGTGCGGGGAATAAATTACTTAAAGAAAGACCTAGTGTGACATAATGCGATTCCTACCTTACTGCGACGATCAACACGGTTTGAGATGTACAGAGGCTGGAGTATCAGGTCATTATGAAGTGTAGGGTGATGGAAATTTTATGAAACAGTGAAAGACGGGCGATTTTTCGTCGGTGAGCCAATGGAATAAGTGATTAAATATTTTTCATTGATGTCATACTTGCAGTGCGGTTGTAGTTAGAGAGGATGAACCTAGCAGAGTTATTTTGTACTAGTTCAAGAGAGGTGATGAGATTAGCATGACTGGGATACGATATGGCGAATGCATATTCGAGTTTGGGGCGTATGAGAGACTTATAGAGTACTATTTTCAAGGAAGATGGTGCTTTGGAGAAGTTACGTCGTAAGTAGCCGAGCATGGATTAGCATTGTTAATCACGTACTCTACATAAGTTGTCCAACTTAAGTTATTTATGATGTGCACGCCAAGATATTTATAAGACAAGACGGAATCTAAAGGAGCGTTGTTTAGGTGGTAGGTGTTATGATTCGAGTTAGTTCTTAATACGTGCATAATCTTGCATGTCCTAGTATTAAATTCCACCAATTAGTTATAATATTTACGTCAGTTTGAAGTGTTTTAGTATCATCTACATTGGTAATTTCGCGGTAAGTAACACAGTCATCTGCGAACAGATGTATGTTAGAAGTTATTGAAGTTAGATCATTATTAATACAATAAATAATAAACGTTCCAACACTGAACTTTGAGGCACACCTGATTGTACTTCAGTGAGTGGTGAATGATAGGTCGTTAGCAGTTACGAATTGGAAACGATTAGAGAGAAAATGTTCTATCCATTTAAGAAGGTTAGTGTCGATAATTAGCAAGCTTAGATTTAAGAGCAATAATTTATGGCAAACCTTGTCAAATGCTTTGCTAAAATAAAAAAAATACTGTCAGCGCAAACTTATCGATACAGGGTTTGATGCAGATTATGAGTAGAACGAAGCAAGCTGTGTCTCGCAGGAGTACTGTTTTCTAAAACCATGTTGCGCTTCAGCAAAGTATGAGTTAGACCCTAGAAAGTTAGCAAGGTTCGAGAAGATTACATATTCTAATAATTTGCAACAATTACTTGTTAGTGATATGGGTCGGTAATTAAGAGGCGAGTTTCCGGAGCCAGATTTATAGATTGGAACCACCTTCCCTATTTTCCATTCCTTTGGAATTCGACAAGAACTCAATGATTGTTGAAATATTTGACTTAGTATCATTGAATTAACTACGTTAGTGCTTTTAAGGAATTTTCTATTATTGCCATAATAGCCAGGAGCAGAGTGGAATGGGAACTTATCTATTAGCTTCAATATTCCAGGTACCTCAACAATTACTGGATCCATGGACATGTAATAATTGTGGTGCGCATAAGGGAGTTTTATGTTGGTGGATTCAGAGTACTGGCTTGAAAGTGAATCATTAATAGCTGATGCGCACATGTTATCGGGGATATTATTTCCAGATGAATCTTCTTGTGATATAGTGTTGTTAGTGGCTGGGTCAATCATTTGCCAAAACTTTCTAGGGTTATTTTCAATGTTTCAGGTAGTGTTCTAGTTAGGTAGTTGTTTTTTGCAGTTTTTAGAGCTCTTAAGTAGGCATTTTCAGCAGATTTGTAAGTTGTACAGCGCGAAGGTGAAAGCGAGATTTTAGCTAAACGAAAGAAACGCTTTTTCTGAATAAATAGGCGTTTTAGATGACTAATATACCACGGCGTTTGGGGATTGGAAATGAGTGTGCAATTAGGAATATACTTCTCTATCAATTTATGGACTGTGCATGCGAACAGATCCCAGTTAGATTGAACGGAACGAGATTCAAAATCTCTAACAAAATCATCGTAAAAGTGAGTTAGCTCATTATTTATTCCTTCGAAGTTAGCTTTCCGGTAGTGTCGTATGCGTTTCTGCTGTTTAGTCTTTTTACTAGGGCTAATATTGACGACAAAGTTCAGCGAGACCTGGTCGCTGATTCCTAGTAAGTATGCAATGTCGGAGACAAGGTCAGGATGCGTTCCTAGTATTAGGTCGAGAGTGCTTGCTGTATTACTTGTAATTCTTTTGGCTTAAGTTACTAACTGATTCAAGCAATAAGCAGAGCATGTATTCAGAAAATCTTCACTCTGCTGCGAAAAGTGGGAAATACGTATCGGCATTGTGTTCCACGTTATGTTTGGAAACTTGAAATCTGCGAGTAAAAACATAGGTAAAGAAGAGAGACGAGAGCTTACCATGTTGATGGAGTCATGCAGTTCGTTAACAAATGTGGATGGTGAGCAAAGTGATCTGTACCAGGTACCTGAAACCAGTTTACAGCTACCCAAAGTTAGTAAAGCCCAGGTTATTTATAGTAAACTGTTAAATTGGATTGGTGATGATGGTACGTCCTTCGAGACCGCAAGTAGTACGCCTCCTCCTCTATGCTCGGTGTGGTCGCAGCGATATACCATAAAGTCGTTTGCCTCGTGAAATATTTCTGAGTGTTGTTTGCGCGGAAAGCCTCTTTTCAGTTAAAGCTACTATTTTCGCATCGCATGTATTTATAATGGATGAGAGGGCACAACGTTTATTGAGAACACTTCTGGCGTTAGCAAAGAATACAGATACTGGATGCGATTTACGATGCGATGATATGCTACTACCCCTCCTTTCTCCTACAGTGAGGCGTTTCGCTCAGTGGAGACTCCGCGACCTGATTGGATGCCACGCGAGCGTATTTTTCAACGCGATCAAGTTCAAAGTTGTAGTAGAAACGTTTATTATTGATGAGCAATTTGTTATAGCGCAATTTAGACTGCGGGCGCCCAGGAAAACTCTTTGCAAATTCAATGGTTTTTTGCGAGAAGTGCGGGTACGTTGGTGAAATTCTGCCGTCAGTGAAATGTTCTTTTGTTTCAGCTGGTTACGAAGTGACAAAACTTTTTCTGTGGTCTTGTAGTTGGAAAATTTAGCTATTATGGGGCGGAATTTGGCAGGTGCAAACAGGCCAAGTCGATGTGCGCGATCAATTGACTCTGTGCAGAAAGATTCAAGTACTTCATTTATCGTTGCTGATAGGTTAGCTTCAGTTTCGTTCCAGGTTTTTTTTAGCGTCAGCTATACCATGAAAGATTAGGTTGTCACGCCTATATCTGTCCTTAATCTCAACAAAGCGTGTTTGATATTTATTACTTGGGTGCGTTAGACCAGATATCGACGCGTGTATTTCTGATAAATCTTTGCCAAGTTGATCAAAGTCCTTCGATTTTTTTCGAGTTCGTCTAGGCTCTTCTGCATGCTGGTTATTTAGGTTTCTAATGTTTTTGCCCGTTTTTAATTGCTTTAATTGTGAGCAGCTAGTTCGGTTTGCGCCTTCGAACTTTGGAGTGAACGGCTGTGTATATCTTTGAGTAGTTTAAACATTGTTTTCTTCTGCTGAGCGGGGTTTTCTGGTAACAAATAATTATCAAGTAAGTTTTCAGAGCGTTTGTTAGGTCCCACGTTAGTTTCAACAACTCCAGATCGTAGGAGCAAAAAAGCATGGAAAAACAGTCACATAAAACTTTGTACAGCACATTTGGGCACAGAAACAGTAGCAAGAATGGGTCGTCCGATTTTTTAGCGTATAGAGAAAACTTTGTACACATCTGCATGATGAA